AACGTAGTTACTTTTAAATGCTGTTAACTAAACTTGAACTTCGTTAACATACTTAACCCCCCCCCCAGATATTTGTACTACAGTCAGACATAATATTAATGCAGTGTTTCTCAGTAATTCCTCAGGAGTCACACAGACATTCGTTGTACCTTGTATCGCTTCAGTGCGTGGAATAAACAGGTTTAGACATAGCAATTCTTGTAACTGTGTTTTTCTAATACTTTAAGGGGGTGAAATTTGACTAACAAATACCGACATGGACCCTGCACATCATTACTGTGGATTACTAAAATAACAAAGAGGTTCTGTCTCGAATGCTAACTTGGATTATTGTTTTGGTAAGTACATCAGCACTTGTAACTCTTTTGTCGTTGTTACAACGATGAGATGAGGAGAGATTGAAGACTGTCAGCATGTAAGCATGAGACGTGGTTTTGTTTTTACCTGAACTATGTAAGTTTCATGGAAAAGTAATCTTCAGTTATGAGAACTGGATCACATAGATTACTCTTAACAATTTATATTAATTCCAGGTGAAATATGCCCGTTCAATCGATCCTGGCCTTTTCTAGTGTATGCCAAAATATCGCTTGGTTTTGGAAAGTCTGCTCAAGGAGTTAAGTCTAAACCCCTCTAATAGCTTCCAAATAATCACTAACAACTGTGACGTACTAAATACATCGTAGTATCCAATTGGTTACTACGCAGTAGCGGCGACGTTACGAACCATTACAGAGGAACGAAACCCACAGATTAATACGTAAAAGAAGGTTTGTATGAACAGGACCGAATGTGTTTGCTTCAGGCTTCCACACGGTCAAGTGTTAGAATACTTGGAATCGTATTTGGAGACTGAGAGCTGTAAACGTGCACTTGGAACATTGGCTCACAAATCTCCTGGTAATAGTATTGATCTGAGGCCGTTCTCGCTGATTGGGTATTGGAGAAAGTCCAAGATACATTTGACCGATTCGATTGGGCGTGGTATTCAAGCGATAAGAGGCTCCAGCTACATTGTGCCACAGTTTCTGTAACGTTGACAGCTCTCAACGGATGAAACAGATTACTTTTCATTGTAAATTTTTCTTTTAAAATTTACATTGCAAATCTTTGTACAGTCGCACGGAGAGTTTTTTAAGCGAATTTCACAAGCGATTACATGACTCGTTTTCACACTTGCAATTAAAACTTTACGCAAGCACATTTTCCATCACTATATGTAAACCACGATTTTAAAATGGTTAATTTCTTGTCGTGTTTCGTAAAGCACCAAAAATTATATTCGTAACTCCAGACATTGTTACATTTCATAAATGAACGTTCATTTTGTATCTAATCGTAGGAATTTATAGGTTCAATTTACTCTCCACGCCAGAGAGCAGACATATTCTTTTTCTCCTCATGAAGAGGGGAAAATCAACATCGTTCGATTTTCGGTCAGGGGGCGCGCTGAGCTTCTGTTGTCTCAGACTCTCATTTGAAGGAATTTGATGTACGTAAATAACAGATCTGTCCCGATTTCTTTCCTTCCATCCACAATCATCGTCTCATATGATGATAAGGAGTTTTTTAAGTACCATCAAGTAAACTAATACAAGATACAACGAACTTTATACTCTCGGGTTTTGCAGAGACGGTCAGTGGGATGCATGATTTGGTAAAGATAAATCCAAAGTTGTACGTAAACGCCACGAAGTGGGCCCGTGAGGGATGTCGTAGCGAAGGCACTACATGCAGGCGAACGGTTTACTCCATGTTTTGGTCGCCTTGCCCCCAGAGGGTGGGTAAGTCTGAGAGCTGGCATAGATGTGGTAGCTGGAGCCAAACCCTGTTGCCAATTACATCATGATTTGTAACAGTGCAGGGGAAGGTCGAGTTGAAATAACCGCGCTATAGCTCAGGTGGTTAGTCGTCGGCTTCTCACCGCGGACGACCGAGTTAACACCTGCTGCAGTCCATATGGTATTTGTGGTGGACGATGTGGTACTGGGATAGGTTTCTGTCCGAATTCTTCGGCTGCTCTCCGCTAATTCCATTGCGCCCTTGCTCAGATGTTTTGAAACTTTCATAAGTCAGTTTGAGTCACTTTCATCTGTATTAGAAATGATCTTTTTTCAAATTTTTTCACACCCGAATTTTTCATTGATTGATTGTCTTCCTTGCCTGACACAAATTTTGCTGACAATTTCTTTTATAGTACCTCCCTCCTTAAGTCTTATAACAAGCATCTGGCAAGATATCGGATCACAGGTGAAAAAATATTGGGCATTGAATATGTCAGGAAAGGTATAAGCGGAAATCGAAGCTGTCCTTGGTCTTAAATATTTTCCTATTTGTTTACGTAAATACTGTAACCACATGACGAAAATAACATCCTCCGCTCTTAACCGGAGACACGGTTACTGACTGATTGAACTCTTAGTCTTGTGGTTACAACCGGAAGGCATGCTACGTCGTCGAGTTTGTGGCTGAGCGCTGGAGTTGAACATTAGGACGTAAGAATGAGATCATAACAGCAGGACTGCGAAAGGACAAAGAGGAATTTAAAAAATCTGTAGTATTTTTCTAATATTATGATTCTACATCGAACAGGGTGAGTTGAGCGGGATGTGTCACACGTGGGGATGAGTTGTGCGTGTAGAATGTAAGTCGAAAACTTCGAAGGAAAGAGACAGATTCGAGGGTGTGTGGGTTAAACTAACACCGGGTATTGTACCGCAGAAATGAAGAATTGTGACAATTTGACAGTCAGTCATCTTTCGAAGGAAGCGTTGTTCCATGGGCAGTGATTCAGTTAGATGATAAATGAACTTTATATTCATTTGTCTGAATGAAATGTGGTTATTTCGAATGAGTTTTAATCGGCAGACGATAAAATATAAACACTACAAACGTCCAGTTTAATGGTGATTGTAAAATATATCACGAGGAAATCGAAATAAAGCTGGTTTTATCTCTGCCCTCCTTCTGTGGGCTTTGCATCCTGTCAGTTTAGTAACGATGGTTCTTTTCCTCGGAGTAAAAGCAATCTGAGCGCACGTTTACCTCACTCCCACATTCACGTACATACGTACGTGTATTTAGTTTATCATGTAATATCCTCCTGCGCTTTCGGAATGGCGTGTGCATCAAATTTTGCCAAAGACTCGCCAAAAACGGCTACGGAAACCTATGAAATGCTAAAGCAAGCATTTGGGGAGTCCGGAAACGAAGCAGCAATCTTCACAATGGAAGAGCCCATCGTCACCACGACCGAAGAAGGCAAGACAGGTCAAGAGCAATGTGAAGTCAATGCTGATCTGTTTTTTCGACCAGGAGAGGATCGTCCATAGGGAGTTTCTTCCTGCAGGTCAGACGATCAATGCTGAATTTTACTGTGGGGTCCTGAGGCGGTTGCGTGTTGGTTGTTGAACAATGTTGCAGGTATATAATTATAGTTCTTACATTACTACAATAAGTGGCACATTTTGAATTTGTCGTTTGTCTTCTCTTATAAATTCTGGCAAATAGTATTATCTTGACACGTCATACTGATCCATGATAACTTTAATCTGATGATGCACTTTAAAAAAACCTCTCACCACGAAATAACTTGGTAGGATTTGAGGTTTCCACGGAGGTGAGTCTGAAGATGGTTGTCTTCTGAGTTATACCGCCGTGTGGTGTGGTAGAAATTTACCGAAGATTCAGAGGTCCATTTTGCCTCCATCATAAGAGCGATAGTACATCCGAAACGTCGGTAAACTTATATCAGACTACACGGCACTACTGTCCAGATGACAGACATTTTCGTACTTACCGCCGTGAGAATTTCACCTTCTAGAAATTTCTACTGTCTGACACGTTTCTTACGGATGCTGAGATATGCACATCTTGCAGACATTTTATGAAACTTGATGAAATAAATCTGTCGTTTGTCCTTAGAAGAAGACGCTCGCTTGTGTTCTTGAGAGCGATATTTTCATGCGAAGTTGCGCACAGCCTGTACGTCTTGCGCTCCGGTATCTAGGGATACTTCTTTTTTTACAAACGTCTGCACCACTTGGGTGCGAAACACCCTTCTCTTAGCAAGCATGCCAGTAGTCATAACAGAATGAGGTTATGAGAGCCTGGGTGAAATGACTACTTACCCCGGACCGAAACGAAGTTAGAAGAAACTCGCGCTAATGACTTTTCGAGCAATGTAGAAACAGATTCAGTGCCGCCTCCAACATGACTTCCCGCTCGCCGACATAAATACTAATATTAACATGAACTGCTAAAAAAAAACACGTTTCTCTTAAAGAGACGTTTAAAATCTATCTGAAAATTCTTTAAGACTTTTCGTGGTTTTCCTTGGTCCCTACAGGACATTCAGGGATAGTACCTGAAACAAACCACGATCTCTTCATCCGATATCCTTTCCAATTCATTACTGGTATTTATTACTCGTCATATTATTACGCGCTGTAAAGTATAAGGTGTGAGATCGTCGTTAATAATATAATATAATAGATTGATTCGGTTTATACACTCCACTCCCCACCACCGTACATTCTTGTTCAAGTTATCATCTTTAATCAGATGCCTCTCCAGCCTTAATTTCCGAAGAAATCTTCTGTTTCAACCAATACTTTTCTGAATGATAAAATCCTTTATAGTAATTTAACAATTTCTTTGAACTCGTCCTCCAACCCTCAGTTTTCCAGATCTTCAACTTTCTCTCTGTAATCTTTTACCTTTAATCCTCCTGATCATTCTCCTACTCTCGTTTCTCTTGCAACATTTAATGTATCCTTCTCTGCCCCAAACACATTTCACACATCAGACTGAAAGGTTAGTGAAGCTACTCCGATATTCCGACAAACACGTTCTGTCTCTCGTTATCATTACATTTTGTTTCATAATTACCTTTTTCCCCGTTTGATTGTTCCCTATACACGCAAGACGTAGCCCCCCCACAGTGCCTCCTTAATTTAGCAAAACCTGTTCCCAGTCACAGACGGACTTAATCGGAATCTCTAGAGACGGCAGTCGGTGAATGTACATCATAGTCATCGCTCCAACTGGTATCTGATCCGAATTCTTCAAGCTCAGGTATGACATCGAGCATTGTTTTGCAAAATCTGTTGTACACATTATCTGCATATACAAGCATAGAACTTCCCCAGACTTCAAAACCATACAACATTCTCGACTCGACCAACATTCCGTAAATATTTCCCAGGGCTCTGACTTCCATACAGAGATCCCGAGCAAACAATAGTCATTAGCGTTCAGCGCCTGGAACCTTTCAACGCAGCCGTTTACACATGGGACTCCCATTTCCACGTGCTAGCTGATCTCTTGTTATCTCAGTTTATGGGCCTCCTAGGATCCAAAGAATGGATTTCTTTATCCGTCCTCCCATTTTAAAAAGTAATATTTTGGATTTATTTGCATTTACGTTTAGCACTACATTATTTATTTTTAAGATGGTAAAGTTGCGTCATATTGTGATATAATAAGTATATATTAAATCTTGTCCGTCTAATCACAATAATTCTTATTAAATATTAAAATATTACAATAATTAACATTTAAAATATTTAAAATATTAAATGATGTTCTTTATCGAAATATTCGATTTACATTAGACCATCATTTTTCATGT